TCTTGTATGTCATGCTTTTCATCATATTAACGAGCTGGTCAAGTTTATCTTCATCTTCTTCCTCTTTTACAGTCCTAACTTTACTGTAACCGCCAGAGGCCTGCGTAGCTGACTCGTATTCGAGGGCGGCGGATAAGACATTAACCAGCGTCTTGTGACGAGTTAATCGTAGTGTTCTTTGCATCTCATGATCACGAAGACCATCAATAAACGTTTGAACGGCCAACTTTTCCATCATGTCTTCGGGAGCTGTTGGATAAGCATATCGCACTAATCTGGCGATATCTACTTCATATTCTTGAAGAGCCTCATCTTTCTTTTGTCTTCGATTTTTGAGCTGCGACTGATATACATGTTCCAAGTGTTCGTGGCCATATCGCATATTTAACCTCTTCTTCAGTTGTTCGAAATCATCCGTCTCCTCTACAACTATGGTCTGGAGCACATATAAGGCATCTCCTCGAAGAGCTATAGTCAGGTTTACAGCCTTTTCTTTTTCTGAACATCCATTCGCTCTTGCAGCTGATTCGAACTGTTTCATGTAGTTGTTCCATGACGATTTTCCGTCGAAAGTTGGAACTTTGACATCAATATAACCCCGCTTCCTTCAAATTTCGGCCGTGTTTCCAACTTACATTTCGTCTCGTCTTCTTTTGTCTCTGCTATAATTGGATTGTTTTTTCTCTCTGCTGTCCCTGTTTCCTCCATCTTCCTTTCCATCTCTTTTATCTTCTCTTCGAAGGCCAACATATCGGCAGCAACTTGGTTCTTTAACGAAGACACTCTATCATCGAGGGCAGACATCTCCGAAGTGACCTTAGAGATTTCCAAGGAGATATTAGCAGAAACTTTGCTTTCTAGAGAAGAAATCTCGTTAGATACTTTGTCTTCTAAGGAAGCGATGTCGCCGGAGACTTTATTCTCTAATGATGCGATATCACAGGAAACTTTAGCTACATCAGACGAGACTTTGTTTTCTAATTTAGAAATCGACGCGATGACAGCATCTTCAAATATATAAGTTTCCGGTTCTAAACCTTCTTCCTAGAAAGCATTCTTTAGTCGTTGGACTAACTCAGCCTTTTTTCCGGTAGAAGCTAATTCTCTGTCTTCAAGATGCCTGCTTAAATTCGTAACTGTGAGCTCGTAAATCGTCGTCATATTTCACTTCTTTTCAAAAATTCAAATTAAATTTATCTACAATTCCACTCCTGTACACCACTGTTGTATATTTATATACTTCTAATTTATTTGTATTTATTCTAATTTATTGTCTATATTCTAATTTAATAAAACTCACGATAGCTAATTACTAATTTATTTAATAACTGTACAAACTTATTTACGTTCGATACATTTTAAAATCGCGGTTCCCGAGCTTCTTATGACTGACTAACAAATAAAAATGTGTCGTTTATATACAAAAACTTCCGCTATCTGGAAAGTTCGGCGACCTTCTACATTATAGTGGAACTCCATAGAATCATCTCGTATTTACGAGGCTCTCGTAGACAGAGCGGCAATGATCTAACAACTGGTGTCGAAGCGGTTCCAGAAAACTCGTATTCGTCGCTGTTATAGCGAAGGGGAACTCAACGTGTCTCAGGTAGATTTTGCCCTACAAATTACGAGAATCAATAAAAAAGAATAAGTCATAAAATATTGACAGTTCTATATGCCATAACATTTAAAATCGTAACAATTGCTATCAAATAAGCTGTCTAGATTGTGCCAAGTTAGTAAGGGGTGTATTTTGGGATCACATAAGCTTAAGTCTATTGATGAGAAGCTTCCTGACTGAATATAAAAGTATCTACTATTTTACCTCTACCATATGTATTTTTGAAGCCCCACATAGTATTGTGTGCATTAAAATATACAACCATAATAAATGGGTCAGAAATTTGAGATATCAGGTTTTCTAATTCAGTGCTTGTCAATATATAATTAGAAGTAATATATAAGCTGCATATTGTGATTAGAACAGCTTCTAATGCAGTGTTTAGGTGAAGTATACGGTGAATAATTTCAGTTGATACGAAAATTGATGTTCCTCCGCTAGCGCGTCGGTGTGTAGTTCTATTATGGTGATAACTAACAAAGTTTTTTAGATGAAGTTTGTGTGTTTCTGTAAAGTTTGTGTCTTGTAAACAAATAAAGTCAGGATTGTTTCGGAAATAAGTTGTTGCATACGTGCCAGGCGAGGATAAAATCCATCGCAGTTCCATTGAATAATCCATCAGTTGTTTCGTGTGAGCACTCAAGATTGGGTAATTTTGTAGAATCACCCATTAAAAGTTCGGTTTTGTCCTTAAATTTTTTTGTACGACGAATTAGTCTATTTGTGGTTGATTTCTCATTAATGTTGGGATAGATTTGGTATAACGTATAAATAAGTGATTTGATGTCTGGTGGGAATTTTAAAGCTTCTGCGTATATATCGCAACTACCGTAACAGTTTTGAAGAAGAGCAATTATGATATTTGCTGAGATTATGAATATTTGTGAAGTTTCTTTATAAAGCTCGTGTATGATTGTTTTTTCCATTTCGGATAGAGTTAAGTCATAATTGGACCGTTTAAGTTTTTTCTTGCTTTGTGGTTTGGAAAACCCGGTATGAATATTAGTTTGTTCACTATGAGTAGATTCTTCAGTTATGCTAGTTCTGTCGCTAGGAGAAGAAAGTTCTCTGCGTGTCTCTGGAGTGTCTGCGTTTATAGTGTGTTTGTGTATCTGTCATATGTTAACTTGGTTGTTCTAATGAGGAGTTGTTATTTGAGAATGGAAGTGGTATATTATTGACTGGAGGAGATATCTCTGTTGGTCTGAAAGTTACAGTGTTGGTTTCTGAGCTTTTTTCAGTAGACGTGAATTCGGCTCTTAAAGGGGATGAAATAACTGTCTGTTCAGAAAAGGTACTTTCTGGTGGATTTGTGCAATTTGAAGTGATAGGCCCTAATCTTTTACAGACGAAACATTCCATTTTGCCAGTAAAAAAGAAGATGCCGTTTTCATTATCTTCGAAAGAGAGCACAAGTGAGGTTTGATGCTCAAAAATTTTGGAGAGCGGAAACACATAAACTTGTCTCCTAAAGCTAAGGATGTGTGAGAATTCCTCCCCCAGAACGCCTGCTTTAAGAAATGATACTGGGGAAGCAATTTTTAGACCTAGGCATTTAACAGCGGTTTCGATAATTTCATGTGGGATACAAGAGGAGACATTGGACATAAATATTCTCTTTGTAGGAGAAACGAGTTTACGTCTGTTTAAAGTTAGGTAGCCGATTTGTATTATAGGATGATATTTTGTATAAGTTGATTTACTATGTTTTTATTAGTTAAATATACACAGACCCTATTGTTGGAGATTCTGGAGGCGAAGCAGATGTTCATGGATTCGATAATATCACCAATTGTTTTAACATAATCGAATAATTTGAGGCTGTCTTCGGCATGGAGAACGATTGCGTGTTCTTTCTTTGAATAGGTTGGTTTCGGTGTTGTTTTTGCTGCTGTTACATAATGACATTGACGAAGTGTTGTTGTTTGGTATATCTTGTTTATTGGTTCAAACAGTTTACGGTTAGATTAACTGTTTTTATACAATAAAGTTTATTATTATTCACTATTTACACGTTCAGGACTGAAGAAACATTTAAATAATATTTTTATCGTTTAAATATTCAAATTTTTTAAGAGAAACTTTGAAATGCGTCTAAACACTTTGATAGTTTTTTGACGTTTTCAAATTCATTTATAAAACGATGTATTTTCTTTAAATTATTTATAGCGTGTATCACTCCATAACGTCACCGCATCGTTATTGTTTTTCATTAAATATCTGATAACAATCGATTAAAAAATATATTTGCTAATTGAGGCATTTTTTTTATTTTCGTATCGTTTGTTTCAACAACTAATTGTTAATAAAACTTAATTATCTGTTCATCATCATTATTATCATGTAGCGCTACAACCCTGGGTGGGTCTTGGCTGACTGTACAACTTTTTTCCAATTTGTTCGGTCTTCCATCAACCTAGGGTCAAATGGAATGTTCATTTTCTGGAAATCTGCTTGGATGTTATCTCTCCATCGTATTCTGGGACGTCCGAGTGGTCTTTTGCCTGTGGGAATCTCCTCCCATACCAGTTTCACAAGTCTTTTGTTATGCAGTCTGTGCACGTGGCCTGCCCATCTTAGTCGCTGTGATTTAATTTCTTGGACAAGAAATTATGTGTTCAGATAAACTTTATATTGTTATTTATATTACTAACCCAACATGTTTGTTTAGAAAAAACTGTACGGCATAATGGCTGACACAATTTTGTGATAAAAGGCCTATAAGACTATACATAATAAAAATAAGCAGTATGTATTTGGATGACTCAAAAAGTAAAAAGAAAGTAATTTTTTAGAAAAATTTACAATAAAGTTAAAGTGGTATAAATTGCAACAACTTCTGATCCAGAGAATTTGATCCAGAAAAATAGGTGAGAGGATGTAGATAAATAAAATATCCATAGAATAATTTAGAAGAATTTTATGGACATACACTGAGAGCAAAGGGAAAAGCTTATTGTTCAAGTACTATGTTCATGACGAACGTTAGCTATTATCAGAACAAACTGTAATTTGTCAATAGCTTTTCTAAAGAGAGTCGGTGTGCGTTGTGTAATACCATCATCTGAGATTATTTAGGCAAGAATTACGCCTACGACCTGGAGTCTCTTTCCTTCTATTAATAATTTTATGAGTTCCTATATATCATTTCTTAAGATGTGACCAACTGAAAAACTGAATCTTATAAATACTTTTGTTAATCAAATGCCATCTGTTACGTTTTTAAATAGTAACCACTAACATAGTAACTTGCAAAACTTTGTTTACGTCTACTTAAGTACTGTAGATATGCTTTAATATCCCAAAATCAAAAAATACCGATAATATATATCTACTTTAAATTTTAGTTTAATATTTTTAAATTGTAAGATATCAATAATGATAAGACTATTCAAACCTTTTTGTACTGCGCTTCTACAAGTCTGGCTTAAATCTTGATTATCTTATCGTATTCTATTGAAATCTCACATTGATTTTTTTATGCTATACATATATTGTATTAAGACAATAAAAAGTATGTGGTGACTGTCTATATTTCAATATGATGAAATTACCCATAGTTTTATTGAGTTTAACAATAGTGTCATCTTTAAAAGGATTTAACATAGATGATAATGATGGTAAGTCTAAAATCTAAAGTGCTGTATTTGTTTTACTTATAAACGATGTGGAGAATAATCTACTTAGAATTCAATATGGCTTTCTATATCACTAACATAGGCAAGTTATTGCTTTATATGATACTAAACGTCAGAAAGTATAAATCGTAACGTCAAAAATAAAGGTATTTTCAATTGAAATTGTGATTAACTCTATTAAGATAGCAAGTATTTTTTTATTTGGTTTTTTTCCTGTTTAAACCCATAATTTAAATAGTATAATTGTCTACCTATTTCTTCTTTTTTAAGCAGTAGGTATGTCTGTGATCAAATGTTGACTATCATCATGTTTATCAGCTCTTGGAATTTGTTTATCAGTCTGGCTATATTAGTCTGTTTTTCTTCTGTTTGTGATTTTCAGTAGCTGATGTTCAGTATGCATTATTTGTGATTTGATCTTCTTATGTTTATACCTTTACGAAATATGTGATAATATTTCATAAACTTGTGCGTTTAAAAGTCAAAGTAAGTGTACAATGAAGATGTTTATTATTAAAAAACTCGAACATAAAAGTAAAACACTTCTATTGTAATTGGTACATTTAATTAAAAATTTAAATTAAAATTTAATTTAAAAAAATCCAAAAGGATTAAGTTCAGAACGCTTTCGGAATAATCAGTCCTACTCCGGAATGACTAATAAATTAAATATACAATTACAACGGAAGTTTTTTACTTGTATGTTCGAGTTTTTTAACTATATTAATACAGCCAACCTTTAGGGATTATCCTTTTTTATTCTTTATTATTCTTTATATATAATTTGTCATTCCTTATTCCCATATTTGTATCTCGTGCTTCCGTCAATATTTATACAGGGTGTGTCACAACGAGATTACACTATCTATATATCGGAAGCTACTTACACGATATTTATGAAAATTGCCACATGCAACTTCCGGTCATACCGGAAATAAACTTTGTTATTTTAAATAGAATAGCCTATACATATTTGCACTTATATTCTACGTACCATTCTAGATATAATTTGTGAAAGGTGCTATAGGTCAAAACTTCATATTTTTTGAGTTATTCATATTTTTTTACAAAGTTTGACCGAAAAGATAACCTTTTCAAAGTTAATATCTCATTCTTTTTTTTTTATTTAGCTTCACGTGTCTCGACAGCGTAGGTCACTGACACAGGTACAATTTTGTTACATTACATTACAAGAATATACATTAACATTACAATCAATAAAGAAATACATTAAATACATTAAATATTGGTACAATTATTACAGTTATCAAATTCTAAACTACGTTTCTTCTTCTAAATTTCCTGGTAAAGCTTGGTTTCATAGAGAAAGTAAGTAAGGTTTTGGAATTGATCTGGCGAACTGAGAATATTTTGTAGGTTTCGACTCAACAAATTCTTTTTTCTTTCGTTATTAAAGCGCGGACAGTCTACGAGAATATGATTAACAGATAGAATATTAATATTGCCACAGTGTGTACATGGATCATGTAGGTGGCTCTTGGGAAATCATTAAATGTTTATGAGTTAGTCTTGTGTCATGGAAGGAAAAGCTTTTTAACGCTGTGATGGATGTCACGAAGCTTGGAAGGGATTTTTATTCTAGTGATCTTGCCAAGACATTTGGATGATATTTTTAAAATACGACTGTAAATCTGTATGTAGTTGTATGTTTTCAGTCTCCATATTAGACGAGGCTTGTTTTGCAAAGAGGTCGGCTAGTTCGTTACATTCGGGTCGGCTAGTCGGGATTCCTACATGAGACGGAATCCAGATCATGGTTATGGACACTCCCATTGAGATTAAACTATCAAAAGAGTTTTGAATAGCTTGAACCAAAGGATGTACCGTATACATACTTTTGAGAGAATAGATAGACGCTAAAGAGTCTGTACATATTGCTACTTTTTTATATTCTGGAGATAGTAAGTTTGTAGCTTGGAGAATAGAGGAAAATTCAGCAGTATGTATGCAGCAGAAGAGCGGGAGATTGCAAGATATGATTAAACCTGTGTTTGAAGTTAGAGCACATATAATAGCTATTGGACTCTTAGAAGCATCTGTGTATAAAGTTTGGTCAAATATGTTGTTAGCAATTAATTCTTTAAAGGTTTTCCTTAGAAATTGTAGATTTGTCTGGCGCTTATCATGATTAGTTAAAGAAAGATAGAAATCTGCTATCAATTTATTTCAGGAAGGTTTAAGTGATATTAATATTGGAGTTGTGGCTGAAAGATCGATATTATTGAGGTGTGGTGAGAGATACTGTGGCATAGAGTGAATTTTAATAGGAAAAGGAGAGTTTAAAAGTTTATTACTTAATAATTTATAAGCTGGGTTTTCGATATTAGCTGATATTCGAGAAGAATATCTTAAAAGGAGTTGCCGGCGACGTAGCTAGAGGGGAAGTTCATTAGCTTCTCGGTATAAACTCTCTGCGGGGCTCGACCTGAAGGCTCCAAGGCATATTCGGAGTGCAGTATTGTGTACAGAATTTAGAAGTTTTAAATCTGATGGGCTAGCTGACATATAAATGAAACTGCAGTAAATTTTGGAACGAATAAGACATCTATAAATCAGAAGCAAGGAGTCTTCGTCTTCACCCCAACGATGATTAGACAATTTTTAATATGTTAAGATTTATCATGTACTTAGTTTTAAGATCTTTTAAATGGCATTTCCAAGTAAGTTTGTAGTCGAATGTGAGTCCTAAAATCCGCATACTCTGTACTGCAGGTAGACAAGTACCATTTATACCAATACCGACCCTTGGGGAACGCCATCAGTTTTGTTTGAAAGTCCAAAAGATTTTGCCATTTTCTCTTACGTTAAAAGTCCTATTTCTTAAAAATTGATTAATAAATGACGACGACATATTTCCAGATATACTGTACTCCTCGAGTTTAGCTATAATAACAGGTCTATACAGAGTATCGAATGCGTTTTTCGATATCAAACGAAACAGCTATTAGGTCTTGTTTGCACTGAAAGGCGTTAATGATTGATGTTTAGAGGATTGCTAGATTTTCTGTTGTACTTCGATTTGATCTAAAACCTGATTGTGCCAAATTTATTATTTTATATTTTTCTAGGAAACACAGAAGTTTTTTATTGATCATTTTCTCAATCAGTTTGCACATTGTACATGTAAGAGAAATTAGTCTGTATGAATTTGGATCACTTGAAGGTTTGCCTTGTTTTTTAACAGGAATTATTATGGATTTTTGCCACAAAGTTGGAAATGATTTTTTGGTCCATTTAAATTGTAAATTTCCAGCAGTTTAGCTAGACTTGGCTTGAAAGATTTTTAATGAAGATAAAGGGAATGTTATCTGGACCTGCAGCTGAATTTTTGCAAGAGTACAGTGTGTCTGATAATTCTTGAAGTGTAAACGACATATTTAGAGAACTTGGATCGGATTTTCTGCTATCAGATAAACTGGAGTTTAGATAAGTAGACATGGGAGGCTGCCAATTTGAAGTAAGTCTATTTGATGCTTTCCTATGAAAAGTTTCACCCAAGATGTTAACAATTTGTTGACTACAAGTGAATGTGCTGTTTTGAGTAAGTATGGTCAAAATTTTTGAATAGGTTTTCTTTCCTGTCATGTGTTTAATTTGTTTCCAAATTTTGTTAGGAGTGTCAGTATTTATGGATAAGACGTGTTTTTTTCCAGAAGTATTTTTTGCTTTGTTTAATTACATACTTAGATTTGACTCTCAGTTTTTTTTTATTTGCTTTAGTACTGTCTCTGCGGTATTTGTTTAATGCTGCCTTACTTTCTTGGATATCCAGAGAGCATCTTTCATTTCACCAAGGTCCATTGTTTTACGAGACGAAAAGATTGCTATTTGTCCAATATTTGCTTCAGCAGCGGAGATTATACAGTTATTGAAAGCGCCAATATTTTCATAATAATAAGACTTACTCACAATCAATTTAATTTAACAATCAGACGACCGGTTTCGCTTTCTACAATTTGCAAAGCATCTTCAGGTCTAGATACAAAGTTAAACTAATGCTGCAATAAAATAAACCCAATTAGGGTGGTGTCTAATAAAGATAAAATAAACAAATAAGTTAGTTCATACAAATTATAGTAATTATGCCAATATTACATGTCTGTGGTTTTCAAAATGAATAAATTTGAATATATAAAAGGTATTAACAGACAAGGTAAGACCCACAATTGGTATAAAGTAGTAATATTATATTGTAATAAATTAATAAATGAGCAGATAAATAAAACAAAACAAACATTACTTACATGGCGGTACTCTATTAATTGATGGATGGTAGGTCATGGTTGCAAAAATCATGTATTGTTGATTGGAGAACTGTAATGTGCTATTGCAGTTGTTTTGACAATAAACGGGAAGTTCTTGAGGAGAACAGATTTGATCCAATGAATTAGAGATAGGTATATTGTGGTTGTCAAATGAAAGTGATGTTCTTTACTATTGTATTATTTAAATTATTTACACTTATATCAGAGTATCTTATATCTTATATCTTATATCTTATATCTTATATCTTATATCTTATATCTTATATCTTATATCTTATATCAGAGTTGCTAAGTATCTTTTGGTACTCACTAGTGAGAGAGTGTATACGCCGTAGTCTGGGTGGTGGAATGTGGCTCAGGACTGGGAGCCATTGCGTAGGGGTGGATTTAATAACACCAGAAATCATTCTCATTGTGTTATTCAATTGGGCATCTACTTTGTGTGTATGTGGGCTGTTAAGCCAGGCTGAACAGCAGTATTCCGCGGTTGAGAAAACAAGGCCCAGGGCACATGATCGCAAGGTGGAAGCCGATGCTCCCCATGTTGTGCCGCATAGCTTCTGGATGATGTTTCTGGATTTAAGTTTTTGCGCTGTTTTTGACAGATGTTACTTAAGATAGAGTTCTATCAAGAGTCACCCGAAGGTACTTTGGTGTTTTATTGTAGGCCAGTGTGGTGTTTTCGAATTGGACGTT